GGGTCATCGTAATATTATTTTCTCACCTTTTCTCCCCATAAAATAAAATAGTACATGTATAGGCAAAAGTAGGTAGGCAAAAGCTTTTTTTACTTCATAAAGAGAATGCCTGCAAGGCATGTTATTACAGCTATACATTCATTTAGGCTGTGTATGTGTAGGATATCTCGCTTTATTTTATCTCTCAGTTAATGCATGTGATATGATTGATCAATTTCACTGTAGGGCCCCCTAAAGTGGAAAGTTTGTCAAATTTAAATCTTCCCCTTCTATTTGAGTCTGGAGATAAAGTGAATATCTCACTAACCTTGTCTTCTTGATCTATAATGGAAGTTGTAGAACCTCATTTTTTCAGCTTAGATTTATGGCCCTCATACTTCATGCCTGAGCCATAAATAACAATGAAAAAAACTTAGTCTGATAAATTATGAGGTACTTGCTGGAGTTTGCCCTGTTTAATAATTTGCTGTAAATAGATCAAACCAGAGGAGCCACTCTTGCAATGAATTACATTACAAGTCAGTGCAATTCTGTTGGTAAAACTGGCACATTTATTTTTTACCACATTTAACATGCAGGTGTGAAGTGCTTGATAAAGATGTCTTCCATGTTGCAGTGAAACACATGCAGCAAGGTAAAATTTCCTATATCTAAAGTTATTTTAACTCAAGTGAAGCCACTAAATACAAACTACATTATCTGACTGATTTTTCTTAATTTTCATGGTTGAAAGTTCTAGTTTTGCGGAGAAGTATTTTGACAATTTGTAGTAGTAATGATTGTATTTTAAAGTCTTATATTATTTATAAACCTTTCTATAGACATTTTCAAGCTTTAGAAGGTTTTAGCATCAACTCAATTTCAGCTTTCACTCATACGTATGTTGGTGAAGCAAGTATTGGTATGAAGAATTTGCAGGCTTCACCTGGTAAATCCTTTCCACTAAGCACACTTACCATAAAGAATAGAATCTCCATAAGTTTTCTGTTACAGCTACATTAAACAGCTTTTTTACTTAAATTATCACCCAAGCTAGATAAGTAAACCTGTGAAGACATACTTTAAATATTACTAGACATAGAACCTATTGACCTTCTACTTTTATTGAAACATTATGCTGTTAAAATATGTACAGTTCTCTTCAAACCAAACTTGAAATGTTCTGTAGTTTTTGAGGTTGAAAATAATTATCATATCAAAAACAAAATTTCTTATAATTCATTGTAGAGAATACCCCGGTGATAAAATGTTATTAGTTTTTTCACAATGCAAGTGTAGTCACTTCCAAGGTGGATTACCCCTGTGCTGCATGGTCCTCTTCAGGTGATGAGGTCAACTGTTACATATCACCTTGCAAGGCACCATGGCCTATGGTGATGTGCTGGTTATCTGAACTAGAATAGGCTTCTGGGGGAAGGGAAGGGGTTTGTTTGCGCTAAAATAGAGCTGCATATCAATTTTGCATGCTATACAGAAGGAGGATTTTGATATAATTTAATTTTGGCAACTATTATATAAATTGTCTATCTTTGGCAACTGAATTTTCCATCCTTACTCCATCTCTCTTTGTATATTAACTTTCCTGCCCACTTCTTAATGCTTCAGGTCTCTGTGAAGGGGTTAAACTTGATGTGTATTATCCTGGATTTCCCACTTTGTATCATGTACCACACAAGGTGAGATAAGAAACATGCAAACATGTGCATCCATAGAATTATATTAGTATTTATTAAACTGATAGCAGTTCAGCTAGAGGGCTTTGGCTAGAGATTACTTGGCTGGCTGTTTTCTCTTTGCCCTATTGGAATCTGTAGCAGTACTGCATCCCAAAACCTTTTTGATGTCTTAAAACTGCATTTCAAATTGTATGTCTCTACTGTTTATAATCTTGCAACAACAAACAGAATTGAATAGAATTTAAATAGTCTCAAAATTGAATAGTTTCAGGGAAGTGGGCTGTTGAAAAAGTTGTGCTTTTGATGTACATGTAAACAAAACATGTGGCTGATAAGAATTCGCTTTTGAAGGCACAACTCAAGAAGGCAGGTGTAAAGGTTTTTCAGATGCACAGCAAGAGTCACAGTATGATTTTAAATATCATGGAACCCCAAGAAAAGGTACACAGATTGAAGTAACTATCGTGTTAAAGAGTCTTAACTTGTAGTAGTAATCAGATGTGTAGATTGTCTGAGTGTTAACAACAGAATAGAATGTAATTATCTCAATATATGAACTAGAATATGTGTAAAAGTTGTCACATTTGTAAAGTAGGTTATTTTTTTGTTGGCATACAATCTTTTTATTTCCATGGTATATATGGGATTGTGGGGAATGTTTTAGACAAATTGCAATAAGGAATTATGTCTGAGTAACTTCCCCATGCATAGTCTTACAATTATCACTAAATTACATTCTTCTACCTTTAGGTTTTGTCATTAAGAATAGCTGAGGACTTTCTTGGTAAAACTTGCTATGTGGGCTGGCCTCACATGGTGGAAGCTCTTGTAGTTGGTGTTTGTGATGGCATTAAAAGGTACATGTATTAAATAACATAATTTACCCCACAGGGTTTTGGTGTTAATTATGACTTGGCAAGCAACACCCTCCTGGTACCCTGTGCATTCAAACTTCAAGAATACCATAAATGCTGGCTTTGTTGATATCATTCTTCATGATTTTTCCTAGATATTTTCACGAAAAGAAAAATTCTCACAATTCTGATAAGGAAGTATTATACCAGGACTTGACAGAGTTGGAGGTTAAGAGCTGGAATCATCAAATCAAGTCTGCAAAAGAATAGTCAGTGAAAATATTAGTGGTATTATTTTAGTTTACAAATTATTTTTCTTTCAAATGTTACACTTACCTAGGTATATGCACATTTGCTCAATAGTTCAGGGCCATTGTAATAGGCTATTTATTATGTTGCCTTAGGGGAGGCTGATTGTTCATCAATCTTATTTTTCAGTCAATTAGAAAGAAGAGGAATAGAACTTGGAGAAACAAAGATTATAATTGAAGCTTGCCCTATCAAAGGAAAGAGGTCTGAACTTTTTTCTCATCCAGGTTTAGGCATGAGATTTAATGTCCTAAATAGGTCTGAAGACCAAAAGGATGACTCAAGCCCTCATGAGAAATTGAACAAAATTGAGTTATTGGGAATTTGATTCTTCAGGAATTAAGTACAAATTATGCAAAATAATGCAAAATGTTGGACTTGAGACATCTGCTAGAGGAATATTTTCTCCTCCATACATAAGTCAGGTAATAGAGATCATCATAATCATTACGACAACTTACATGTGTATTGGATAGGATATAATCTATAGACGAGAGAACAAGAGGTAGATTGATCTTCACTGGCTAACTGCAATTAAAGTAATGGCAAAAAAATAAAATCTGCAAGACTAAGGCTTTGACTAGGACAGGCACTTAGCAAAAGTGAGCTACAGTACAATGTATGTATGAAGCCATGTGATACGATTGAGCCACTTGTAGTGTTTATTCTCTGGCTTTCAAAAAGTGTGACAGATTATCGTGGGTGTACAGCATGTTATGAATTGCATCACCCACCAATCGTGTCAACGAGTGAATTACACGCGCTTCAGAGCATGTGGAAACTTGCGTGCAGTACAAAAATTACATGTGTGCAATAGTCTACAGTGTACACACAAATAAGTGTATTGAAGTTAGTCGCAGGCATTTCCGTGTACTCTCTCACGCAAATGCTATTGCTGTGGGAGTTTGTATTCCACTCAATGTGATAATCCCTAACTGAATGCTTTCCTGCAACAGAAAAAATGCGAATTTGATCATTCAACCATTATTTGCTGAACAATATATCCTTCATTTTAACGTACTTCTGCTTTTCACTCCCTTCATGCAAAGGTTCAAAATAAGCCCCTAACATGGACCAAGCTTCCCTTATCCTAACCCCAACCATTTAAGATTCTTCGGCATGATGATCAAAATAATATTTCGCGGGAGTAGTTGTTGCTTCCTTAAAGTTTGTCTGACAACTTTCAATTTATAATGATATATTTTTATATCAAAGTTTTTTTAACATGATATACTTTTAGTTCAAATTTGTGTAACACTGTATTGTTATTTTGTTTTTAAGCTTTGGGGAAGTTACTTTTGAATCGTAGTACTCTATGATGTCTCTTTTCTTCTTTGAGTATTATTTAGATTCTCTTTGAAATCTTGAATCAAGAAAATCCTAATTAGGAAGATTTCCAATTATTCTAGATATGTATGTGGAGCCAAAGGTCTTGTTACCATGGAAAAGGAATGGTCACCTATGCCAGTCTCTTACCCTTACCAGTTGACTGTGAAAGTATGGCAGCTTTTAATTGATTTATTATTATTTTCTGAAGATTATGCTTTTTTTTATTTCTAGTCGAGCCTTCATTTCCATCTACTTGTCAAGTGAACTTCTTAGATGTTTTCAAAATTTAACTCCACTTTATACTGGCAGTGTTATCCATCAAATTTTCATTGGTTATGATAATTCTTTGGGGTTTTCTTCAGTAAAAGGAAATTAGGGAAAAGAAATTTCTGTTCGTTGTTCAACTTCTATGGAACTTTTTTTCCTTGTTCTATAGGATATCCATGTTCATGAGTCCCATGAGGATGATAAGATACACACGATTGAGGAACTTTTCCCTATTGGCAGCCAGTGTTTCATGTTAGCATCCCCATACTATGGCTCCTCTGGTGAAGTGATAGAAATTGATGTGAAACAGTCTCGCGTCAGAGTACAGCTTCATGTGCCACCTCAACCTGACTTACATTCTGTGATTGATAAATATAAGGTAGGATTTCTCTGAGAAGGAGTATGCTTAAAAAAAACCAACTACCTGTATATCTGCTATTGGAAACTATTTCCTATAAGATTTACTTCTTGCTGCAGAATAAAAATTCTAAAGAGTAAACTAAGTTTTCGAAAAGTATCTTCTATTGCGCTAAAATTTTGACTGTGCTGGAAGTCAATTTGATAAAAACTCAGAAACCTAGCGGATGCGGGGACTTACATCGCATTGCTCATGAACAGCTGTAGCCCTCGTGATCACCGAGAGAAATAATCATTTGAACACCTGCAAGAATTGCAAAAATAGTTACACTAACACACCTTAATGCTAAGGTCTAGAAAAATAAACAGTGGCTGAACACAGGTAGAGTAATTTTTGGTCGTCGCCACCACATCCGATTAAAACTAACATCATTTTAACGCTTATTTTATTTTTTATGATCACAAAAACTAACATAGGTTTTACGACAGTTGCTGATGATCTTAAAATTTGTTTTGTTTAAGCCTGTTTAGGCCTGTTTAAGCCTGTTTAGGCCTGTTTAGGCCTGTTTAAGCCTGTTTAGGCCTGTTTAGGCCTGGTTAGGCCTGTTTAGGCCTTTGCCTACAAGCACCCACTATTCTCTTGGGTTTTTCAAGCTGAGCCAGCTAATGAATCATGGTGAGATGATGCCAAAAAACCTATGAGACTAGGAAATGCTTAAGGGCAAAAACAAAAGTCTTCACTAGCTGAGACAAAAGAAATGCACAGAAAAAGTTACTTTTTCTCGATGATTGAAAAACCAATGTTAAGATGTGATATCACTAAAAGGAAAAGGTAAAGGAAAAAAGAGAAAAGACACATCAAAATGACATGGTCTACAGTGGATGTTGGTGGAGACAAGTGAGAACACAGGGAACCCCCTTTGGGTGTGTTAACATCTTAGACATACGAGAGAAATAAAAATAAATGTATGATGGCCATCAATAAAGCACTGAATAATCCAGTTTTGGTAGGATGTAAATGTGTAGTAATATCACATGTTGCCGGCGAATTTGACATTTGTGTTCTACATCTTTTGTTTTTAGGCTCTATCGGTAAATTACTTGCCAGCACATGTGGCTGCCAAAAAGCTTGGTATTACTACAAACTTGCTTTTAAGAATAAGCGGGAGCTTTCTGATTGAAAATGAGTCCAGCAAAAGGTAAATAACCACGTCAGGACACTTTTTTTTAATGACTGCAATGTTTTAAGTTATAAGTTTAAGTCATACAACAAAAACAGGAACATGGTTGCTATTTCTCCAGCCTAGATCTGACAGCTTTTTTTTTTGTCATCGTTATCGTCATTACCTTCCATCACTCCATTTCCTCGTATGTTGGTTTTGAGGGCTGACTGTAATTTGCGATAAGAAACGAAATCAAATGGAAATCTTTAATTTGCAAAATGAAGTCAAAATGTGTAAATTCCGATATAGAAATATTGGCCATTCCTTTTTCCTTTCTCCATTTTTCTTAGCATTGATTGTTTCATTTTCCCGCTAGGCATGATATTTTCATTAGAAACAGCTTGCACACTCCTTTGGTCAAGCAAAATTTACTGGTCATGCAAGGTGTCATGTCACGCATTCGAATTATTCATCAACTACGAACAGTGATGATTCTTTATAAATAGCTCAGCTTCAGTGCCAGGTAGTTTTTCAAATTACAGTTTTGCATTTTATAGCAACATGACGAAATTTTTCACATAACCGACGTATTGATTTCTTCTCCAGTGCATTCAAGATTTCGTAAGTACACTACAGAGATTTCCATATTGCCCAAAAAGAGGATTTAATTCATTTCGCAAATTACAGATTCTCATTTCGTCTCGTTTCGTAGGCAAATTACTGTAAGCTGATTTGTGGTTATGTAAAGTGTGAATCGGAAAGTGAAAGGGGTGAATTATATAACTGGTTACCGACTAAAAACCTTTAAAAGCAAGAGATTAGAAGTACGAAGTTACGCCACTTGTAGTATACCTTTGACTGAAGCTATTGAATGTACCTCAGCGTGGATCACTTATTAATGTTGCACTTCACAACGTGTTCTTTTTTCTTTTTTGCCCTCAAGTTCTTCTGGTGGGACTACAAAGGTTGATATTGGACTCAACATGAAATTCAGTAAACAGAATAGAGAGGTAATTCCAACAAGGGCGTACTCATTCGCGGAATGTCATAAGAATATGAATCACCTTTAAAGGAAATCCTTTTTTTTTTTTTTTTTTTTTTTTTTTTTTTTACTTTATACTACTTTCATCGTAATTAACAAGCGAAAGATCTAATTTTGATAATTGGCTAATCTAACCAATAGAATGAGATAAAACCTGTCTTGTCGTAAGACTGTTTTTCAAGGATGCTGGGTCTCACTCAAAGCTGTGATGACATAGTTTGTGCTTGAAATCATTTAAGTTTAAGGAAGCAGCAGAATGCAAATCTTGGTATAAAGTGTTCCACACCTCAACACCTTTGTAAGAGAACGTTCTTTTTAGTAATTGGTGGGAGGATGTGAAAGAGCCAAGTTGATTTCGGATTCCTGAATCGCTACGAAGTAACGCCAATTTGAAATACAAAATTGGGGAGTCGTTCCACGTAAAGTAACATCATGTTCAATGCCTTCAGATATCAGAATACGAGCTCCACGGTTTTGGTCAATATGCCCACCATGCGATTTCATAGATGGAACCTGCATCACTGGATGGTCGTTTAACGTGAAAGATAGAATTTCTGATATAGTTTACAACCTTTATTTCAACGCTATGAACATTAACTTGGTTTCGTCATGTCGACGGTCCGTATATTAGCTGATACCCATAGGCACGCCCTATATAGATTGTAGTAAGACAGCAATCGAAACGTCTTAAATATGTATTGGCAAAGGTTAGGCTGATATCGTCTGCATACAATCCATGTTGTCAAAAATGCAAGCAATTTGGCAAGTCATTAATTAACATAGAGTAAGAACAGTTAAGTTCCTAAAAAAGGGACTCAGTTTTGGAATTAATTTTCGGAAGGACGATTGTTTGGATATGTTGTGGTTTAATTTTATCCTTGGTTCAAATGTTCTTTTCTTTTGTTTTTGGGTATTGTTATGTATGATAATGAGTTTGAAACAAAGGAAAATAAACTTTGAACCAAGGATAAAATTAAACCACAACAGATACAAAGTGAACCGTTTGTGTCAAGGGCCGCGAAATGCGCAGTTTTAATTGTCTTGTGGTCTATAGTGCCAAAAGCCTTTTTTTAAGGCCAATACAACTACAGCAGAGACGCAACCACGATCAATGTTCATTGCCCAACTGTCAATAGCCTCCAGTAAAGCAGTTACGGTGTCATGTTATGAATGAAAACCAGATTGGAAGCCGTAAAGAAGAATGTGATTGTCAGTGAGATAGTGATATTGCTGGTCATAAACGACGCGTTCAAATAATTTGGCCAAGATGTGGATTATCGACATGGGTTGATAATTTGTGAGGTCATTTCGTTTACCAGAAATTTTGTACATTATTAAAGAAAGAGATTTAACAATTAAACCTGGGCATTCTCATAACAATTTCGCCGAGATTTTGTCTAATCCAGTCGCCTTGTAAAGTTTCAAAAGGAGAGACAAATATGAAGATGAAATTTTTTCAAAGGTGAACTCTTTACTGTTGGATGATGTTACTTAAAAGTCGCACGAGCTTTTTACTTAAGCTTTTTGATACGCTGCCAAGTGTACATTGTCTTGGTGAGATCATAAGAATTCTTTTAGTTGAGCAATTCTTTTTTCTATCAGTAACTTTCAGTAGAGGAAAGAGTCAAGTCTGATCTTAGGCCATCTGGCTTACCCTACTCAAGCATGCGGTGTGAACCATGAGTTCTATTGCTCTTTCCAGATTCGGTGCTTTTCCAGCACATGGACTCCTACAGCCTTTTGTCATATTCCCCTCTCAGATAATAGCTTACATTTGTTTTATTTTCCTTTCTAGGCTCTTGGATTTGCCAGGAGAACAGAAGGGGGAGAATGGACTTTCTCTCCCGCAGCTCTGAAAATAATTTCTGGGTATTTACACAAGTAGGTTCATTATTCTTCTGATATTTCATTATCTTCCCTGTATACCTTTATTTTGTTTAATAGCACTTCATATTGATTTTGGTATAGTAGCAGCTGTTTTGGAAACTGATGTGCTGTGTTGGTGCCCAAAGGTACCAAGTGTGAGTTACAGAAAAGGTCTCTCCAAAGGTTGCCCACTCTACCCAGCATGGCTAAAGAGGAAATTTGAAATCAGAGTGATTACTTTGAACGATCGATCAAAGGCCAAACAAACTTTATGGCGATATAAAGGCAGCGTCTTTTGACTCTGGTACAAAACAGAAGAATACCCTCCCTTATTTATTAAGCGTCAAACAAGACTTAAAGTGACTAACATTCTGCTCCTATGTATGCAAAAGAAGTTGAGTCACATCTCTGTATCAAGTACAAAAAGTGGCACTTGCCAGTCGTTGAAGGCATTTGCACCCGTTTTACAATTACAATCATTGATCTTAATCTTCAGATCCATGCATTGTTTGTAGACTTAGCATACTAATCAATTACTCATCCTCGATGACGATGGATCTATAAAACCAACCCTCTTTTGATCACCCCACAGGTTATGCGTTTAGTGCAATATATCCTTTATTACATTCGTACTACTCCCTTTGTTGTTGCTGGTGCATTGCCGAGTGATTTCTTTTTGTTAGGTTTCCACATCTTTTTGAAACTTTGGCTAAGATGTCATCGAACGATCGGTGTTTTGCAAAGGACTTAGAAGTTGATGAAAAGGGGTAAGCTTTACAATTTAGAAGAGAGTTAATTCAGTACGAGTAGAACAAAAAACAGCTGCGGAAATTGACGTCATGTTTGGCAGAACGATGGAAAATGCATATAGCCAAGATTTCAATAGCTGGAATTGCCGTAGAACAGTGTTTCATTACAATAAAGAAAGAGTTTTTAAGTATCATGTGATAAGTAAATCAACAAAAGAATTAATGGCTTCCTTACAAAGCCATAACATGAGTTAGCTCGAAGAATTGTTTTTGTAGCAGAGTAGAGGACATCGCGACACTAGTAAGGAATTCACAGAAAGCTGTGCAGATGAAGAGATATCAGTCAAATTTTCTTGCTGCAACTGATGTAGGTTATTTTGCTTTAAAACAGCCTTTGTTGAAAAGATCGAGTTCAAGAATTTATAAATTAGGTAACGGACAAGTAATTTTAAATGCTCACACGATCCAGGAAAGGTTCGAAATGAGTGGCGAAATGTTTGTCGTGTGATAATGGCCATGCGACAGCGATTTGTTACTTAAACGAAATGATGTACCAAAAAAACTGTTTTTATATCTCACTAAGTACAAACGAAGGATTCCTCAGTGGCTGCAATAACTGGACGGGGTAATAAAGAACTGGTTCATGCTTAGCGTGTGTACATGTATATATAATTTTGGATCCACGTGGGGAGTTTAGAGAGCACGAGGGGAGCGTAAGAGTTGCTCGAGGCCCGCCCGAGAGCAACTCTAGTTTCTTGAGTGCATGTGCGTGCATCGATAACTTGATAAACTCACGCTAAGCATGAACCAATTCTTTGATACCGCTAAGCCGCAGCAATATGTCGCGGAAAGAAAGCAATATATTGCTAAGTACCGCTCTATTTTTCTGTTTTAAAACGATATTTAGCTTAGTGCAAGCGATAACTTTTAAAGGGGTCAGCGATATTTTACGATAGCTTTCCATAAATTATCAATTTGACTTTGCTTTGTTTTTGCACAATTCGGTAAGTTATTTAGCAATAAGGCAATGCATTGCTTGCAGTGGTTTAATGTACGAGTTGGTATTTGCTAATTTCGTATTGCATAAATATTTTGGAAGTTAACAAGAAAGAATTGACTTGAAGTTTACGATTTTTTAGGTCTGAACTGCTATCAGAGGTTCACGACTGGCTGAAAACAATACCTTCTCTCCAACTAGAGCCTGTGAAATGTGGCAGTATAAGTTTAGATGATCCAGTTGTAGAAGCGATAGAACAGGCGGTGCTGAGTACCAAGGTATAGATATAATTGTGAACTCAGCATTGAAAGAGTTATACACAGGCCTTTGGTCTTATTGCCGAGCGTTTAATCATAGCTTATCTCCAGTCAACGAAGGTTCTCAGGTAGTCGGCTGAACAACTTTTTTTGGCATGGTGTCATTATTAAACTTTAGGTTCCGTTGCCGTGCTACTCGTTTCATTTCCTCATCTAAAATTGGATTAAAACTGAAGTGACACAAATGTCAAGATGATGTAGTACTGTGTAAGCAAGAATGACTGTTGACCTTAGTGACTGATAAATTGTCCTGCTTAGGCATAGTTTTCTGACACAGATAGAAGTAGCAGGAAAATGGTAGAAATTCCTGGCATGACATCGGCAATCCATTTTTCACATCCATTGTTTGGAGTAATTAGAGCAACGGCCTTATCCCATTATCCCAAGGGTGATGGCTGTTCTGTTCCTGCATGATCTATCTGCCAAAGGAGGTACTTCATTTTAGGAGGTACTTCATTTTACAAGTTTGGCATTTGCGCTGACGTGATTTATAAAAATCTTCCTGCATTGTTCTCCTGTTTCTTTTTTTATTATCCATCTATGGTGATATTTGTTTCAAAGAAGCTTCCGAGGAGCTATGTGATATATTCCCTATTGCTAATCACATAGTTAACGCTGCTGCTTGGAGCAGATCATTTACCATAACTTTGTTAGAAATTACAAGATGATAAAACATATATTTTCATATGGCCATCTGAGGTTGAAGAGAGGAAGGAGAAGGCCACGTAAGATGGAACGATTGCACATCAAGTTTACTTTTGGGTGTTTGCTTTAGACTTGTATCCAAATTTGTCAAGTTAAATAACGTGATTTTTTTACAAGCATTATCTCCTGGCGATGCCCTACGTTTGGTTTCCCTATCTGATCTCAAACGTTTAGTGAACAGGTACTCTAACACTTAGAGATTGCTATAGATATCAACAATGTTTTCTTCTTTAATCATAAGGCATTGAACCACAAACCCAAGGCAGTTAAAGTACGTGTGCGGCCTCACCTCCTCTTTAAAGTAAGTTGCCAAGCCTTAACTATTCTTTTCGAAAGGAAACGTTCACGTACGATTGTGTTGTGGATACTTAAAGTTGGTTTCACTAAAAGTAGTGACTTCATTCAGATACTTTTCAACTCTTAGCGGTAGTTACAATGTCGCCACAAGGTTTTGCAGGATAACTGAAGTGAAATCAACCAGTTCCATTTCAGGAAGCGAAATGATTTCAACTATTTTCAGTCGTTCCAATCAGTGCAAAGGATCAAAGTGAGCAATAGTGACAAAGAACTTAGATGTAGTTCATTGCTCATTTCCTTAAATAAGATTTGTCAGTTTTGTGTAATTGGCCTTGCTAACAGCACCTATTTCTTCCTTCTACTTTGAGAGCTTTTTCAGTTTAAAGGTGTTATTCCCATTTTCTCCTAATTCCCATATTTTTGGCAGAAATACCGTAAAATCCTTACTAGCAATGATAGCGCTTTAATTTCAGTCAAGTTTCATGGAGAGAGAGTCATTTACTTACGAGTGTTATATTGCATGGTGTGAACCCAGCTGACTTACTTTCAAGTGTGAATTTGCGGAGTGTGAACCCAACGATTGTAATTTTATTTTCAGAATTTTCTACCGACCTTTCTTTTAAAGAAAAAACTCTCCCACTCTTTACTTAATTTAGTATCTGTGTTCACACAATAAGACTTGTAGGTGAGTGACGTCCAACCAGCTCTTTTATTGAAATTCGACCGTTAAATATTTTGGTATTGGAAGATGATTTAATTGGGAAATAATGGTTGAAAACAAAAACGGTCCTTTTGTCTACGTTGAGGCTAGGCATATATTGTCAAAAATATAATCAGAACTTAGCTAGACTGAGAACATCTTTAAATCTCTATAACGCTGGGGCATTCTTTTATATTTTTTGTTCCAGACAAGTTTTTGCGTTTTTTTAATTTTTGTTTTCTTTGTTTGTGTGTTTTTTACTCAAAAGACAGTTTAATTCCATGACTCATTGTTCTCCCGCAGCCATCTGGCCATCAGGGAGCTGTTCTCCCCGATAAAGATGCAACATTTGAGCTATTCGACCGAGTAGTCAATGTCAAACTGAATGTTGCTGTTCCATTTGGACTAAGGGGAACTATTATTGGAATCCATGAGGGTAGGGCAGCTTCGTTGGTGGTTTTTCAGTTTTAAGACTTATTTGTAAGCTTTATAGTTTAATTCCATCTCGTATTTTTGTGTTATTAGCCCCCAACTCATCAGATGTTCTGTATGAAGTTATATTTGATGAACCATTCCTCGGTGGATTAGCACTAAGGTAGGAAACTACTTTTGCTGAATGAGGCAATTTCGCAGCCTCCCGTACAAAGCTATCAACTTTTATTGAAAACTAAGAATTATTACAATAACTGTGGAGTTGAAATGTGAAATCCCTAACTCAGCATTTAGAGAGATGCACTCAAAGTTTACTTTGTCTTGTTATTAATGTTTATGTACTCGTTTTTTTTCTGCAGATGTTCATCCAAAAATGTGTTCTTGCTTGAAGCTCTGGCACTTATTAATATCAGTTATGGTGAACGATGTGAAGCGAAGAAAGTTGAAGGAAGATCAGTTGGCAATAGTTCATTTGGCACAAACCTCGCCAGCTCCCCTCAGCTGAACAAGGAGAGCAAAGGTAGTCAATCCAAATCAGGAGACAGCAGGCTAGATTCTCCAGGTGTGTAGTATTGTAATGAAATAGCATCAACTTCAAACACAGAATGTAATTTAATTAGATTTGTTTTTTTTTAAAGGAGCCCCTGATTACTCAAATGCCCGCAGCAATCAGCGCACCATACCTCAGCGTAACGAGTCTTCGAAATCAGCTACTGTCAGCACAAAACTAAGAACACCGGAGATTCAAGGCAGTGGGTCCTCTCAAGCCCAGGTTAACATTAGTACAAGAATTGACAGGTCAGTATGTTTATTTGAAATCATACGTAATCAAATTTTGAACCGAAATACACAAAAACGAGGGAGACTACGTTAATTAAAGCGAAGTAGATACACATTTTTGAAGTCGAAAACTACAAATGAATGGAGGTGTCACCTTGAAGTTTAAGTTTTTGTAAATGGCTTATAGATGTAACCAATATCGAGTCCCATTTTAGGTCCATTACATTTCCTTGTTGTTGAGTTCTAGAGATTGAAAATCTGCTCTTACAAAGAGGAGTGCTCGAATTGAATAAATTGACTTGTTTATGATACTATTACTTAAAATGTTGGTAATCTGTAGTTACACGCCTTATGTATATCGATGAAATAGCATATTAAAATGGAAAAAAAAGTAGACCATTGCGTCCGTTTAAGGACGTTAACGCCATTTCCTTGGGCAACTAATAAATGATTCGCAGCGCCACTATAAAGCCTCTCCAGGAACTGGATTGTGCCAGGGTTGCAACAGGAACCCCACAGTATGAATACAAAGTGACCTAGGAATTCCTAGGAAAAAAGATCCTGACGAACGCTTAGAGGGAGTACTCTGATCTGTTCTGAGCAATCTGATCTGTTCAGTGAGAGTGCGGAAGCCAAATCAGTTTCTCGTCAAACGTCTTCCTTAGCAGGCGTGACTTAGTCACCGATTAAATGACAGAGTTTCAAGGGAGGATTGAAGAAATATAATTAACATTACTTCTGTTTTATTTATCTTTAGTTAGCAGTTTTCTCTGAGAATAAATGTGGTGGAAAAATTAATGACTCGCCACCTTAGTGATATTTAGCAACCAACATGACCGCCTTTCTCCTGTCACAACGTAATTGACGTTTTCTTTTTATCGCAGGCCTGTTAATGAGAGGAATACACAAAACGTAACACCTCCTGGAATTCAAAAGGTAGCAGTGTTCAAGTCAGACATAGCGTAAATTATGCGACAGATACCTGGCATGGTTTCTTATTACTATTTCATGCATTCTATCAGGAAACAGAGGAATATGCGGTCCTTCGAGGGGAGGTTTACTTATCAAGTGATATTGGACTGACTGAGCTAGTTTCCAAAGAAAGAAAGAAGGAATTTTCATTGTGTTCCTACATAAAATTATGTACCTCTTTCCTTTTAATCGCCAGGTCGCTGGCGTCTTAACGAATCAGTCCAGTAATAGTCCAAGCGAATTTGCTGACATGTGGAAAGAACTTAAACTAAAAGAAAATAGTCATGGTGCCTTCGAAATCCCTGGGGACACCCCTGAACATAAGAGCAACGACAAAGTCCAGGATACGAGAGAAAGCGAAGTGCTGATCAAGGTCTGCGACTGAACTGTACAAGTACCTTAAATACTATTCGATGTTAGTTAGCTTTAGTTAAGGAAAATTCCGAGTACCTAAAGGTGAATAATTCAATATAACATGACAATGTTTATTCGGTATCAAGCGGACTTGCTAACGTAAGGTGAAATGCACGTTATCCTGAACCATGAAGTGTTTTCCTTTCTTAATGAAGCTTTCATTTGGCATGAGTATATTTATGCGCGTACTTTGCAAATTATAAAGACACCCCCCCTTCCCCCGCCTGCTAGCAGAGTTCGAATGCATGGACTCTTTAAACTGTAATCTTCATTCCAACGTAAAAGGAATAGGTTGTCCGCTATATTCTCATGAAATTGTGTTCTTATTTCTGAACTGTAAGCTATATGGTGTTATTTGATTCAGGGTCATTTATCTTAAACCAAAACAATAAAACTTAACCTACATACAATAATTCGCTTATTAGCCTTCCCGTGCCGTGCATCTTCATGGGATGTTCAATGGGATAGTCGTATTAAGTAAAATTTTTCATTAACATTGTGTCACTCCCTTTTTGCCGTTTTGTTGAAATGAAAGGCTATATTTTCCTTTACAGGAAGGAACAAAGGCTCTTCGTGAACTCCTTCAGATTGGCAAGGCGCCAAAACCCAAGATGGACCAGCAACCAAACAGACCTGAACAAAAAGGCCTCGCGGGCAAACATCTGACCGTGGATGAACTCTTTCGCAGTCACGGTGAGATCACATTCTTAAACGACAGTATTACATGTTACCCCCGGGTTCAAACCATTTACTGTATTACGTTCACTTGGACGACAGGGCGAAAGACTTGCGAATTCACTTGACTCTGATGATGACTTCCGCACAGGTTGTCGAAACGTCAGTCACCACGACCGACAACAGTCCCTCTCAGTCCCCCGGGTTCAAACCATTTACTGTATCACATTCATTGTTAAACTCGGAAGAACGTGAACTCCTGAAACAAGATCAGAAAACGGAAACAAACTACAAAATATTAACTTTCACTAACTGCAGTATCTCGCGTCTGATTTTCTTCTTCCTCTTGACGCATAAACAATCTAAATTTTTAAGTGTCCACGGTTTTGTGAGTTTGACAAAAAAATTTGATACCCCTTTCCGTCGACTTTGACTGACATGAAGCGTCAATGGTACAAAGGCAAATACTGAGTGATCAAAATTACTGTGGCTCTAAGATTTTTCTACATTAGACATTTAGATTCTTAGTCGACCAATTGATTGCGCGTTCGACATATTCCCGTAGAGAGAAAAAGTACGCGCGCGCGAATATGCTGGACGGAGTAACACAACAGTCCTCATTATCGGAAAAGTGTTAATGAAAATAGCGCAACACGTTCGCGTTTTTTCAGTTTATAATCAGGAAAGAGCTCAATGTCATCCACAAACAATAGCTGTGCCACCCTTTTTACTCCTAAGGAGTAAAATGAAGCTTTGCGAGATGTAAATGTTGTCTGTATTTCGCTTAAGTCTTCATCTCAAATCTCGCATTTGTAGTTGAACTCATCGAAGAATCTGAAAGTGTCTCATGTTTGAAAAGTTCCTGAAAGTTTGATATGATTTACTTATCACTTTTCACCAAATAGGGCCAGTTTACTGACGTGACCAGCTACGGTGTTTTCCGTTGAAACAAAAGAAAGAATTTACTCTAAAAAAGAGTTGAACTTCCACAATACTAATTTGGACTAGTATGTACTAAAGCGGTGGATAGCTTTGAAGGCGCGCTCTGATTGGCTACTCAAATTCCGAGTATCCTTTACTTTTGACTTGAGAACATCGTCCGCGGGATTTGCGCCGAAAAGATTGTATTTGTTGCAGGAATAAATAAGCATAAAGTCATCCATCAAAATGGCCGACTTTTCATTATTTAGAAACACCTGTATGGCTGCCGTGGCGTCATGTGAAAACACTCTTTAGAATGGAAGCAACTTCATCCATCCTTTTGTGCCAGCCTGGTGTACTTAGAGATCAACAGCCTCGCAAAGATTGAGCTTAGGTGTTTTTGTAGTAGACCTTAAAACTACGCACAAAAAGTTTCACTCGAAAAATCATTTTCTAAAATTTATTAATTGTGAGAATGTTCCTTACTTACTTCAGTGAGAAACCAACTTTCCGTAGGAAATATCATATTGGCGAACTAAACTGATGAGCTTAGATGTAATGCTTTCAAGAAGTTGAGTATAGATGTATTATTTTCATTTCAATACTTTTCATTTGTCTTAAGGCTCTGCCCAAGGAACTATGGAACAGTTTCCTCCGACAACCTTACCGTACCACTCGGGGTAAGTTTTCTTATGTTAGTGTGAGTCCACCACAAGTGTTGTATTGTGCAATGCCAAGGATGCCATACGTACAGTTCGTATGTGAGTCTGCTTTTGAAGTCTTTGTCATATGTTTTCCTGAGTATTTTTGTTCCCTCTAAAACGAAAGCAATGGCCATGTGATGTTCTTAAGTTTAAATGTTAATTAAAACCATCAGTAGATGTAAAACTTCCCGACGAGAATAACAACACAATAGGGAATATCACAATCCTGCTACCAATCAGTGCTAAGAACATTAAACAAAAGGTTCACCCTTTTTCTGCCACTTGAAAGATTGAAAATTTTAATGTTCAATCTTTCAAGTGGCAGAAAGTTGAAAAGAGAAGAAGCATTTAGAAGCATTTTTTGCAAGCCAGCAACAAACCTTTTAACTTTCTGCGTCAAGAATTAATCATTATCAGCTAAGAAAGACACTGATCACGCTAGATGTTACTAACCATCCACCTGAGTTGATTTCGTCATCACACTGGAACAAATTAGAGACTTACCTGTATTTTCTTTGTTTTACTAATATTTCAGAAGTTCACCGTCATCAGCCTTATTTACTTGGTGTCAGTTATCTGGTCTTCCACCTCCCTGTTATCACCATACTCCATCAGTTGAGGTTTGCTTGCTTTATTTAACGCATGCAGTAGTTACGCTAATTTATGTTTAAGTATAACGGCAAGGTGTATTTGTTAATTATATCTTTGTCCTAACAAGAATGATATTCCTTTACTATAATCGTTAACTCTCTTTACTATTTTATTCCTCGTGAGAAAGTACCTTTAATGTGATTATGATTTTAAATGGCACAGCACGTTATGTAAAATTCCGAGTTAAACAAGCATTCGGTTTTAAAATACTCGATGAAAGATTTTTTAAATTTGCCAAAAATTGCCCATCTTTTGACCGTTGTCAACACGCTGTCTGCTAATGTTGTGGGTGTAAAGGAAATAGGAGAGAAATCCTGAGCTTCTCGTTAATAGAATACCTCATTGTGCTAAAACTTATTTCAGGGTGTAAGTGCCATTGTCGAGTTGGCCAACGGGTTTAAATTTGTCGGCAGTGTGTGTCGCAATCCCTTCGAAGCCATGGATAGTGCAGCATCTGTCGCACTGTTTCAATTGGTGAGTACTACTGAGGAGCACTTAAATCTCGTTCCGACACGAGAAATACTAGTCTGTAACCTTATGCTTTATAATTAATACTATGAGGTTATGAGGCTCTAGCCTGCGTATAAAGTGATACGGTGATTCCTCAGTACTACATTGCGCATCCTCTGCTGCGCGTAACATCACCCGTGACCCCTTGCAAAGAGCACGGGCGCATTTGTATAACTTGACGGGCTTTCTCAATCTATGGACGACCTTAATAGGGCCCGGTGACCTTATCTTTTATTATATATATTTATGTAAAAACGATCTCCGCAAGGAAAAACAACTATGAAGTTTAAATTGATAGAAACGAAGAAATTGCAAAGCGTGCACAAAGCCGTAACTCGAGGATCCCTTCCTTACTGCCTCTGATTCCCTTGGTATGACGTTTAACATACTTTGTCGTCAATACTTAACTTAGCTTATGTTTCAGCCACGAATCATGCCGAACATTCCAGGGCCCCGAAACCTTGTTATGCAGCATCAATTTTCTCCAGTCGTGTTTCCATCGCTACCCAATCCCGTAACGCCTCAAAGTTTTGCTGGCCTTGCACCTTTGCCCTTTCAAAAAACTGTACGCCAACTATCACCTCAGTCTCAACCTTGGGCAGTACGCACGAGGAGTCAAGATCAACCCAACAGGGAGGGTCCTCAGTCTGCTCAGCAAAGAACAAGTGCGACTCTGAACAGTTCGGCAGTGCCTTTCATTCCATTGCAGGTGTGTTATTTACTTGACGTCATACCTTAGGAAGATGTAATTTAGGAAGCAACTTGTGTTTACGTTTCCGCCTAAGAAGTCTTGTTCCACTTCGCCGTATCCTTCGTTGAATTTGGGTATATCTTTAAAGAAGTGTGTTGGTTTGATGGCATGGACTAGTACTTCTTAGTAATCTTTTTTTTTTCTTCTTTTTCGGGTAATGGAGGCATCTTGTTGTGGCTTTCATTTCGGAATCGAAAATAACAATTTCTAATGGCGTCAAGGCAGCTATACTTGTTGACCAAAACATTACAACTGCCGCTATATTGGTCTTCAAGGTCAGTCGTGAGGGATTTAAACTATAATCTCATGTGAACACTTTTTATTCCAGTACGTGTTTGTTTGTGTTTTCCGACTATTATTTATTTGTAATTGTAGAAAGTATTCTTTTGCTTCTTTTATTTCAGGTTTCCAGGAGGAGTTCTTCACGTTCACAATCGTCACCAATGACATCGCAAGAGACGGCAGTCAAGGAGACTTCAGAACTTTCTCAACTGAATGAAAGTCGACAGAAAGAGCAGAGTCAAGACTTTGAGTATCAAGAGACTGGCGAAATTTTCCCCAGAAATTTGTGTTCAGAATCATCAGCAAACAACGTTTCGGCTCAGTCAGATGCGTCGGAAACGAATTCTCTGTCAGTGGACAAAACAGAGAGAGCTGGCATCCCCCCTAAAAAAATGCCAATTTTATCCAAAAGGTTGTTGGCTCCTAGTTTCTTCTCGAAAAAGAGCTAACTGTTTTGAGTTATTCGGCGTATTCGACTTTTCCTTATGTGCAATCCGCCTATCAAAGGAATGGTGGCTGTGAACAGTTCTCAGGAATCTTTCTCCGTTCAATGACAACCGTGACAAGGATTCATCGTCTTGCAAGGTGGCAGGTTTGTCACACTGCAGTGTTGTTCCGTTCTCGAATATTAGATGGCACATAAGAGACATTAGGCCTTCAATGTCGCGGCTTTCAGAATTCATGAATTTTTGTGACACAGTTAAAACAATCTGCATCGTCCGTGTACCCTGAAAAAATGCGCGATTTTAGTCTAGGTATATGATATAATATTCTGCTTAGTGGAAAAGACCATCGGTGATGGTTTTCAGTTTTTAAATGACTTTTTAAATGGATGATGGTTGTATTAGAAATTCTTACCCATACAAGCATTCTTTACGTCAACTTGTTACGTATGTAGCTTGAAGAAGTGGATAAAATGAGCAGCTTTTAATTTCCTCTTGGGGTGTTTAGTTGGTGTGGCTAAGCAGGGAGGGAAGCTATTCCTTCAGCCGGAATGTTTCCCAATGGATGAAATAGCTATTCGTTTTCTGAATGTTTTCTCTCAAATTTCATTTCTTGGTTGATTTTGATTAAGAAGTAAACCAAAATCAAGCATCATCACGCTGAATTTTCGAGTGTTCTCCCAACCTCCCAAGTGTTTACATCAGGCTATGTAAACAAGGAAACCATTTTACATTTCTTTTATAAAATAACTAATGAAAGATGAACGAAAACCGTGTTTACATACGCTCATGTAAAATGGTTTTATGGCCAATCAGAGCGCGCGTACTATTTGAATTGTTTTATAAATTTATATAGCGCCATCTTCCGTTAATTGTCCATGGCGCTTTAAAAAACTCTAAAAACCGTAAAAATTAAAATCCTGAGAATTAAATACACTATAACTACAAGTAAAAACTACATATTAAATGCACGCTTAAAAAGATAAGTCTTAAGATTAGCCTTAAAAACTGCCTCTGATAATGAAAGCCTGATCTGGAGTGGTAGTTAATTCCAGAGCCTTGGTGCCGCCACGGATAAAGCCCTTTCACTATACGTTTTAAGATTCGCTCTAGGCTCATCAAGCAACCTGTTGTTTGAAGATCTTAGTGTACGACGAGAGTCATTATACTTCAATAGGTCTTCAATGTAATCGGAGGCCAGTCCATTCAGAGCTTTGTAAGTCAGCAACAGTATTTTAAAAAACTATCCTATAATGAACTGGCAGCCAATGTAAGCTCCTTAGTATTGGTGTGATATGTTCCTGCCTACTAGTCAAGGTAACAAGGCGAGCTGCCGAGTTCTGTAAAAGCTGAATTCTTTTAATCAGATACTTCGGGAGACCATACAGTGTGGCATTACACTAGTCCAAACGCGATGTTATGTAAGCGTGAACAATAGCCTCGGTAGTACTCTGGGATAGGTATCGCCTAATTTTAGCTATACTGCGAATACGGAAAAATGCGCTCTTGCAGGTTATTTTAACGTGTCCTTTGAAATCTAAATATTGATCGAATCCAACTCCTAAGTTCCTGGCCTGTTTACTAGACTTGATTACTTCTTCGCCGACTCGTATATAGTCGAGGGGTGGTCGTGGACGATAATTAGAACTAGTAAGCAAAAGTTCATTCTTATCCTGATTTAACTTGAGTTTGTTGCGCAGCATCCAGTTACCAATTTCCTTAACACATAGCTCTACTGCCATCTTTGTGCTGGATAGATGATTCGGACAGTTGGAAGTAAACGACTCTTGATTTATTTTTATAATTCTAGCCTATTTCTCGCTTGCAAACGATAGAAAAAGTCTCAATATAACGGTAGTGGGTGGAGCAACAGAATTTCGTTGTGGAACACGAACAGTGGGTTCCCGTTTTTCGAGCCTCCATGGGAAATGAAAATCAGTTGGAGTAATTGGGTTGACTGTTGGAAGGGTAACGACTTTTGGTTCGAGTTATCGAGAGTTACGACAAGTCGAGGACCCGAGCAATCGGGATTCCAGTAAAGTGAAAATAATTAAAGCTTTCACGCGCTTCACACTTACTCTTAGCACATCTATCATTTCATGTTTCACACCTCTTTCAAGAGGATAACAAAAAATCCAACGATATCAGGTTTTACAGTTCGTTTTTATTCCACGAAGGTCCAAATCCGCTTGGGCACCGGTGCAAAACCCAAAATCACAACGCTCGGTTCACAAACAAATGAGGTCGTGATTGTTCAAAGGAATCGCTTAAATTTTAGTCGTGGAGTTAAACCAAATTTGAATGTAATTTTCGGAAGGTTGAATTATCCTCTCCCGTGAGATGCGCGTGCGTTTACTGACGCCACACAAGATGTTGAGGTTGTCCACCAGGCCCCGGTTGTTCGAAGGTTAGATAACGCCATCCTTTGGATAAATCTCTATACGGTGGATAGTGCTATATGTTTTGCTATCACTTATCCCCTGGATAGTGATTTATCCATTGAATAGCGTCATGCAACCTTTATGCAACTGGGCTCTGCAGTGTAAAACAGATTTTCTGTTTGAATCATATACAATTAATGAAAGTAAAAATCTTCACAAAATTTTAAAAAAATGCAAGGAAGTAAAGAATAACAAACAGGGCATGGTTCTTTCGTGAGGAGTAAATGAGGAGTATGATTCCCATTCCGAGTTCGTTGATTTCACTTGTTCCAGTCTGTTGTACTGCTTGCTTCACTTTCGGTTTTTAAACAAAGAGAAGGCCCTGGGTCGAGAGAAGACCACCTGTCACTGAATATGGTCGACGCGATTGACGATCCCATTGACTATCTTGGTGAAATCGCCTTCGAACGGTTTTATGTTATAGAAGCTGTGCGTGAAAGTCTGTGTAGATTTCAATTCTCGAAAAGAATAGTGCAACATGATACACACACGAGTACCCGGCATGGAACGTACAGAAAAGGCAAGTGAGGAGGGCCTACATGAATGATGTTAAGATATTTTTTAAGCTTACCTCTCTGACGATTTTTCTGCTAAGGTTTTACTGATTAAGCTTACAATTCGATTTTTCGATTTGAGGAGAAAAAAAAAAGTGCTACTATACATATGATCTGATAATAATTTCTGCGTAAGCTATCCGTCGTGGCTTTGTCAAGCCTCCGTGTAATCGTGTACCAACTTAACAGAGAGGGGATTATGTACGTGTAGCTAGGATAACAAAAATGTATGTTCTAATAAGAGACATCATTGTCTAAAGAAATTACCAACGGTATGCAAAGACATGTGTAATATATGGATATGGATATTCGGTTAATAGGTTGCTTGACTTAAGTTAGGGTTCTGTGTATGAATGTGCAGAGCTTAATATGGAATTTGTTGACAGTGAGCTGCAGTGAACTCGAGCGTACTCTTTAAGCAATCATTAGACTAGTTTTGACTGGGCGATCACAGTTCATTTATTTTGTGAGAATTTAACTTCCGTAACAAATGGAGCAAAGAACGTGTTCTTTGGGTACATTTTGTGACATGTGGGATCCACTTACTCAGCAGGTCTATATTGTGGTTTCGTCAATGCAGAGTTTCTTAAATAGGCATTCATTGTACGTTGCAGTAGGCCGGTTTTTTTTTTTTTTTTGCCCTCTTCATGATTTTCCATTTGAGATCATTTTCAAAAATGTTGAAAGTTGTAGATTTTTATGTAATATTTAAACCTTTTCTTTCACTATTAAAAGGGTGTTGACATTGCTAATTGTAGGGGCACTTTTTGCTAAAGAAGGGAGGCGAGGTGGCCTCACAGTAGGCTTGCTGGACTCTTGGTTGAAGACCTGACCAGATCATTTTCTTATGTTCATGGCAAGACATCTAATTCTAACAGTGCCTCTTTGATGCAAGAGTGTAAATGGGTAGGGGGCAAACTGTCTGGGAGACTTGATTAAGTGTTTTGGGGTAATTCCAATAAACTAAATCCCATCCAGAGGGAGTGGCAATACTCTTAGTTCGTATTTCATCTAGAAACTGGGATAAGCACCACTTGGCTAGGTGGCAGACTCGACCATAACCTTGTTTTTGCTAAAAGAATAAAAACATTTCAGGTCAAAATATTTTGCCTTCATAACAGCTTCTTTTGGTGATAGAAGGAACCCTGTGCCATTTGAGTTTTGCATTGCCATTTTTGGCATGATTACCCCCATGAAAAATGGGAAGCAATACTATCTTCAAACATCTTTCTTCTTAGTTTCACTATTGCCAGATAACTAAAGGTTTGTCTGTCAACAAAAAAGGTGCCTTTCAGAAATATTATCTTAAGCCCACTTCTTTAAAAGAAACTATGGAAAAATATATATCATTGTAAACCTTATAACATATAGATTATGAGAAGAACAAAGTTTCAACAGTTGTTTTTTTGGTAAGCATGTGTGAGCCTTTAAACACAAAACTGATGCTTTATGCATACTGAATTACCAGCCTTTGCATTACCAAACTGGGCTGTGTCAGATGATAAGCTAACCTAATGTGTGAGGCTTTTTTCATATTCCTATTGGTTCCTTAGAAAATTTATTTAAAGTTGGACAATAGAAATTATTACACTTGTGGACAAATACATTGAAATACATAAACTACCCTTCAGTGGGATAATATCTGATGGATATTCTGGTAAAGTTACATTAAAATCAGACAAATCTATTTACCCTACTGATTTGTTTTAATGGAGGTAACTTGCTTAAAAACAAGCCTCAAATTTTTTGGCCTCCAGAGAAGTTTACATCATTTTAGGGCATCAATGCAGGAATATCACCAACCATTGAAATGCAACAGAGAACCTCTTGGCAAGTTTTGTTACGAAAAAGTCCTTGAAATTTGCATAAAAGGTCCTTTACAACTTAGCCATAGAAAGTAAATTTTATAATGGATAAAACAACATTAAAAATTCCACAAATTTATAGTGCACAAGTAAAAAACTTAAAAACATCTTATTTATAGAGTTTTGAAAAGAGACATGTTTTGACATTTGCTTGATTTCATTGTTGAGACAAAAGTAAAATATTATATGGGACTTAGAGCAAACTTGTGTATTAGAATTTTCCTACTTTTGCAGACAAAAATATATAGCATATGACAGTTACTATGGAAATGGTCTGGCAAAAATACCAACCAAGTAATAACTAATCAGAAGGCTCTGACCTCAGGGCTACCTTGCCATATAATAATATGATAAATTATTTGAATGCAGTGAGGTAAAAATTGTCAGCTTACATACTGCTACACTCTACTATTAGTGCTTTATAAACTTCCTAAGGTTATTCTGAAAGATCTGTTTACTGTATGATGTGAATTATTATGTTGCAAAGTTTATTTTTGAGGACAGACCAATTGGTATTTTGACCACAAGCAGTCACATTTAGTAGAAGGGCCTCCCAGAGTCTTGTCATGGTATTACCTCCAGGTGTCCCAGTTGTTGAAACATTATATTCTTAACCTTTACTGGCAAATTAAAGGGAAATTGAATTGTGAAAAAACTGTTTTAATGGAAATTGATGAGGATTGTGAGAAGCTTTATTATAGTGTTCTGTTTTGCAGAAGACCAATGAGTAGTGGTCTCTTAGAACATGTAAGAGAGATTATTTTAGGTAGCCATGTTTTGTGGCATGCATTCATGTTGCATATATCAAATGAAGCTGTAGTTAGGTTAACATGGATTAATTATCTTATCTACTGAGATTATCTTTCATCACTAGTTTTCTATAACTACAATCCTTAAGTCGTCTATTTTCATTTAGGAACCTATGGAAGATGATCTCACGGAATTCAATCTTTTACAGAAAAGCAGTGGTAAGAGCTAATCTGCAAGTATATTATTACAAATATAAGTAGAACACTTGAGTGTGTAGAATGCCTACAATTGTGTGTGAGCCTAAAATGAGTGTAACAGGCAGAAAAAGTTTGCTGGGTGGCCTCCTTGTTGTGAGTATGCAATTGGGCCATTAAAGATCACTGTCACAGGATTTATCAGAAATGAAAGGCAGCCCTTTGCTATTGACATTCATTGTGGAAATATTAAAAAAGTTGGTGCATAATTTAAAAAACAGAGCTTTCTCATGCAGAAACACAAAACACTGTCAAAATTTAATATATTAGATGTTTTAGTTTTGTTGAAAAATGCCATGTCATAGGGCCTAGTTTCCAGAGTCATAATGAAATTCACCAACCTTAGTCTACTAATAACATGAGAGCATTTGAATGAGTTGTAAAGAAAATTGCAATGGATTATGGATGTTATGGATTTTCCATTAGTTTTTACAAAGAAAAGATCTAGGAGGCAGAGGCTGCCAGCTGCAAGGGAAAGGAGTTCATTAAGAAGTCTTATTAAGTAAGTACATATGGCCCCTATTTACACATACTTTTAATTAGTAGCTAAAAGCTGGAGCTGTGAGTTTTGTAACTGCTCATTTTTTATGCACAACAGTAGTTGTCCAATACTGTTGCACTTTCACAGACAATCAGTCGAGATTGATGGAGTACTGATCACCTCACATGCAAACTATCAACTCTGCATACTATCCATATGCTGAACTCATCATGAGCTTGTATATGTAGGGTATTAAGCAAAAGTAATGCAAACATCTTTCAACATATTAACCACCTCTATAGGGCTTTTCCATGAAGTTTGCTCAAAACCAAATTTCAGTCGCATCGTGGCAAATATTTTGAGGTTATTTTTTTCCTTGATCTGCTTGAACTCCAAGTTTGGCAATAATGTGCTAGGGATATTAAATAGTTCCTTCAACTATTTACTTCAATGCCATATTTTTAAAAGGCAAACTACCTCATGATAAAACTTCTATATTTTCTAGCTGTGGTTTTCATGGGTAACTCACTTTTAATGTAACATGTGCATGTAAAGACATAGTAAACAAATACATGTGCAACACACTATACTAATGATGGCATGAGCTATGCTGAAAAGTGTCTTTAAAATGTATTATTGTTAGTTTGAAGTTTATTTTGATTCTATTATTATCATGAAGTTATGAAAGTATCATTTAGTGTGTATATATGTCAATTTTGCATTTTAAATCTGTTACACTAATAATTGATCATTATCACAAACACATGATTATTAGTAAATGTAAGTTTATTGCATTTGTGTTGTGTCTTTATTTTTTGTCATCTGGATTATGAGTCTCTGATCACTTATTTTTTTAGTTTCATGAAGTCAGTTGTTGGAAAGGATTTGACAAAAGTTACAATGCCAGTTCATTTCAATGAGCCACTATCATTTCTACAGGTAAGAGTATAATGTTGTAAATAAATATGCCTTATCGACCAAGCATGAGGGTAAATCAAGTGGTTATATAGTGTTAGTCCAGGTTGAGATGTCATGGTCATTCTCTGATGAAACCTTTTGAACTACATCCTCATTGCAGCATAAGAGAACAATTTATGATTGAAAACAGTTCAAGTAGCAAAGATATAACCTTTAAAGAAAGGAACCAAACAAATATGAAAAAAATTAAATACATTTTGCTCTTTAAGCACTGTTTAACAAAGCCAAAGAACTTAAGAGGTGCTGCAAAGCAAATGGTAATGAAGTTTTGCATTGGGTATGGTTTGCAACTTTATCACAGAGACAGCTGATTCATTATTTTTTGTTGTCGTAACATTAAGACAGTATTTTCAAAACAAAAAGCATCAAACAAAGAGATTTTTTAATGTCAAGGTCAAGTTTATTCCTGAGAAGTCTTAATTCCTAATAACATATGCTCAGATTTCAGTGGGAGAATCCCTTCAATTAAAGTTGCTGCTGAAATACCAGTCAGAGGTCATGGGTTTAACTCCCTTACAGGCCTCTGTGAAGTTTTTTTTCTTCTTCTTTTTTTTTAAGGCCTTATTTTCACATCTGCTTAAGTGGTTTCATCACTGCAAAGATCACTCTCATATTCAATCATTGTCAGTGATATACACATTAGGATTTCAAAGATAAAAACTTAAAAGTAAAAGATTCATAAAAATTCATGAGACACCTGAATTTGCATTGCATATAAAAGCTGCTCAGCACATTCATCTTTTTCCTTTGTCTGAAAAAATCATAAGGATTTAATTTGGTGATGAATGAACATACCACACTGAACCTCATATGATGGCTGTTGTTCAAATAGAAAAGTTTTGTTTCTGTCCTCCTAGTCAAATAATGTACTTTTAATAACAAGAAAAGAAGACTAGTACTTGTAAGACTGAGTACTGAGTTAGATTTATTCAGATATTATGAAAATAAAGGACTAATACCAGAAATTGGAAAATATTTCCGTGCATACCATTAAATAAATCAGTCAATTCATCATCTCCATCAAACTAAGGAGGAAAATGAATAAGCAGCCAAATTTGCTTAATTTAAAGTTTCTTGCCTAGCTTAATTCTCCTAAAGAAAGGGCTAGTCTTCAAGAACAATAAAATATTATTGCTGAAGAAGCAAGGAAAGAGAGGTAAACCTATAATGTGGAGTACTGGTAGGTTTAACAGGAGAAGAATTGATGACATTACATGCAAACAAAATAATGTACAATTCAGAATGGTTTACTTACCATGGGATGTTGTTGAGCACTTTAAAACACTGAGGTAATGTAAAGAACATGAGCTAGGGAGATGTAAGGTGACAGAGAACTGCAAGCAGAGTTGAGCACTTGAAGTTCAACAAATGACAAACAAGGTTTACATCAGGTTCAATTTTCACTACACAATAAAGAAAATCTCAGTTCCTGTGGATGAATTAAGCACAGTACAGGGTGGAAGCTTGTTTGTGCCCTATAGCATGCTATACATGTACTTATCTGTTTGTTCTCTGATATTTGTATATGTACTTCCCAAGAATCACATGCATCTATTTTGCATGTCATAATTTCTATGTACATATAACAGCCAGTATTATTAGACTAATCAAAACTTTACCAGAATTATCAAACATGATTGGTTCTGACCAGCTAGATAAGAACCCTAATTGGACAATGTGCTCTTAATTAAACATTGTAAGCTTACTGTGTGAGCTTAATAAGAATGAAATAAAGATATTTCATAGGTTGCCCACATTACTAGAATTAGGTGGTTTACACTTAGTTAGTTCATGAATTAATGTGATCTAAAAAACATTTTTCCCTTCCAATGTACATGTACAATTAGTAATAGGCAGTTAGAATGGTTGAGTAAAATCTTTATTTTCAATTTTTTTCTTGTCTGATGGTTCACTTATCATTCCCATAGAGACTGGCAGAAGATTTAGAGTATGCTGATGTTCTAAACAGAGCCTCATGTAAGTCAAGTTTATTATTTGGCACTTCTGCCGTAAGTTAATGGTTTCCAAACACAGTTTCTATAAAAGTAAGCTAACAGATGTCTTAAGAACTCACATTGGTCTAAATATTTAACCAATCAATGCTTGCAATGCATTTGAATGCCTTCAAGGGAATATATATTTGGGATAGCAGCAACTTTTGGAAAGTGTAAGGATTTTTGTTTTACATGGTAGTTATGGATAGCCATGGAAATTCTCTTGAATCCTCTTCCCAGAGCATGTTGCTCTGCTGTGATTGTGTGGTTTCAACTACTGTAACTATAACAAGGGCATTTTGAAGATGAGTTCCCACAGCACTCTGCTGTTGCACAGCTCTCCTGTTGTTCCCTCAGCAGCCTTCCTTTTACCATGACTGTGTTTATGGACTGTTAGGGGAACCCATTTTCACAAAATGTGCTAATCACAGCTCTGCAGTCTGTTTGTAGAGACTAAAACCAAACTTATTACTGAAAGATTGTCAATTTTTTTTCAACTTCTAAGCACTTCAAAGAGGATCTTATATCCTATTTTAAGATTTCTTTAAGAATTCAGAGACCCAGATGCACCACTAGTCACTGCTAATTTGAATTAATGCATGTTGATCATGTGCAACAACACTTTTTCTATACTTTTTTCTTTTACTTTTACACTTTACTTTTTCATAAATGTTGAAGATCATTTGATTTCATTTAGGAGGATTTTGTGTTTCTCGTAGATTCCAGATTGAACTATATTTGATAAATGACCTCAGGAGATCTGTCTAAAGAACATGTTCCTTAGCATGTGACAAAAATCATCTGAGCAGATGTGTCTTTTTTAAATTGAGAGTGTTTTGTCAAACGCAAGTTACAGCTTCATTTTTGAGAGTATGTTTTCCAAAACTACTCTACTTTATCTCAGATTATTTCAACCAACGAGAAGTTATTTTCATAGCAACATTTGGTTAATGTCATGCATTGTTCTCAATAACATTTGCATTTTGTGGCTGTTCAAGATCATTAGAAGCACTTAATTGCTGTTCAGATCAAAGGCAAACTGGAAAAAAATAGGAAAACCCACTTGAATTTTTGACGAAAACCAAAAACTAAATGCTAATTAAACCACTTAAAATTCGTAAACCAAAATGAACAATCTGATGCGATCCAGTCCAGTGCAATCCAGATTTTGTTAATGCAGCATTGTTCACATTGCTGAAGGTCGTACTGGTTATTACAGGTCATCTTAGAAATCACTCAAGGTCATATCAGGTCATTTTAGGTCACTTCAGAAATCACTCAAGGTCATTTTCTAGGTCATTTTCTAGGTCATTTTAGGTCATTTTAGGTCATTCCTTGTTTTAGAATGCAGAATGCATTTTTGTACTAAAGGAAAGTCTCAAAAAATGGAATTGAAATAATAGAGGAATGTTATTTATAATTGAAATAACACACAAAATTGAAAGAAGTATTTGGTAATCATTGTAGAAGCCCAGAAGGTAGAGGAACCAGTAGGCTTTTGAGCCAGCACCTTTTTAATGTTACAATATATACTATTGTTATCATTATTATTATAGTTAATATTATTATTTGTTACCATTTAATTATTGGTTGAATGTCAATCAAACAATGTATTATTGATAAATTATAATAAACCATCTCATAAGTGGAAACTTAATAGCCTTTCTTGGTATACAACACTGTAGATTTCATTACATAAAAACTACGATTAAAAAATATTAAAAATTGAAACATTGAGCGTAGTGTACAGTGATATATATGCAACCTCACCAATAGATTTTTGGTTTTGTTTTCTTTTGTTTTTACAGTTTGCAAAAATTCATTGGTACAACTGGCTCATGTGGCAGCCTTTGCCAGTTCAACATATTCTACAGTATTGGGAAGGTAAACTCAGTTGTAGATGTAGAACATGTGAAACTTTTTGACACCTGCAACAGCATAGTTTGCATTTCACCATTAATCCTAATCACAAAGCATTTAAGCCATTGTTCTCTTCAAATGTTTATTTTATGCACACAAAACTCTTTGCAGATGACCATGTTGCTCTTTTTAGTGCAAAATTGACTGCCTTTTGAAATATCATATAGTTAGGTGGGCACCAAGAATTTATATGTTATGACATTATACAGTCAGACACACATAACTGCATACATGCATAACTTTTATTATTGATTCTCCTTAGCTAAGGTTTTCAGTGACAGTTATCAATATTATGAAAATATAGGCTATAATTTGCAAAACAAAATGAAACAACATGAAAATCTGTACTTTGCAAAGTAGAAATCTGTAATTTGCAAATAGAAAACTGTTAAAAAAAAAGTCGTAATCAGGCAGGAACTTCAAGATAATCTAAGAGCCTGGGTCAGTCCATTTTCCCCGCAAACATGATATTTTATCTACAAACATTTTCATCATTTCCACATGTATTTCAGGTCAGGAAATTGTCATGTCACCCATTTGAATTATTTGTTGATAACACACTTTGATTACACTTTATATACATTAATTACAGCCACAGTGCCAGCTAATATGTCAAATTACCATTGCTCTTTCTGGCTTAATGACTTACCTCTTCTTTCACATAGTCAATGCATTGATTTATTCATGAACATAGTGGAGATTTTGCAAGTACACCTCACAAATTTTTCATTTCTCACTTTCACCAGTTCTTATTATTATTTGGAAGGGTGCATATGCAATCCACACTTGTGGTGAACCGACAGATTCATTCTTCCAGCCTATGGAGTTTTCTGTAGGGATTATCGTTTTGCAAATAACAGATTTATATTTTGCATATTACAGATTTCTATTTGGCAAATCATTTACAGATTTCTCTTTTGCAAATTACAGATTTCTATTTCACAAATCTTACTGATTTTCATTTTGTTTCCTTTTGCAAATTACAGTAATTAAGCCAAAACATAAAGTTAAAGTATAAGCTACAAGTCTACATATGTATATTACAGATTTCTCTTTTACAAATTACAGATTTCTATTTCACCAATCATGCTGATTTTCATTTTGTTTCCTTTTGCAAATTATAGTAAGCCAAAATATAAAATTAAATTAGAAGCTATGAGTCTTCATATGAATATTTTAGGTAAAAATTAAAGGAAGATTACTAGCCAGTAGGTTATTGAGTCTTTTCATAGAGGTGGCCATATTTCCACAATGAGTTTGTTTAAGGGATTTCATTCCAGATTTGTGCTCTTCAAAATGCAAACAACAATTGACCTATGGTTAGCCTGACTTTTGCGAGGCATAGATTCTTGTTTTGTCTGGATGTTTTGCTGTGGAATCCAATTTGATCAAATCAATGCCATGCAGTTGTTAAATAAACTTTTGACGGATGCTTTCAGTGTTTTTATGTTACATTAGGCCACTTAAAGAGCTCCAGTTGTTATGTACGATTGTAAATGTTTTAGTCCAAGGACTCCAATTCTTGCTTTAGGCTTAGAAGAGAAGGTCTGGGTCCTAAAGCTTGGTCAATATGAAGAAGCCCCTTTTGCAGATTTTGCCTTTTACAAAATAATTGAGTGGGATATTTTAACACAACTTTTGCCTTAGGGGGCAAGATACAAATTTGAACAAACATCTTCCTATTACCCAATTTTGTTGGTCCATGATAAAATCTACTTGTGTTATTACATTATTCCAAATTACACATGATATCATGTGATTACCTATACAAATATTGTAATATTTGAAAGAGTTTGGTACCTTCACACTCCCAGAAGTTTTTCACAACTGATCAAATGTTCAATCATCCCTCCTAACCCATTAAGGTGATTTTCAAGATGGGAATGTGAAGATACATGTAGATTTACTAATTATTGATGGAAGAACAAAATTGTTGACTTTATATATTTACCAGTATACAAATTCATTAAAAAAAAAAGAACTCAACATTGTGACTATAATTACAAAAGGCTGGGGAAGGGAAATGCATCAGAAAATATGATTATTTCATATAACATTAGTAGAACATGGTAGAAAAACGATTCTAAATAATTTTTGTGACAGCTCTTACATGCCACCAATTAATGTGACTAATTAGTTAATGTAGGTTATGCATAAGTAGTCAGTAGATGTAGTAGCTCTTGGGATTTGTATTCTGGGGTGCTGAACAAACCTCAAGATACTTGTAGCAAGGAAAAACTTTTCTTTCTGCCAAGGTAAAGTCTTAGAGTCCAAAACTGTTATATTTCATCCTTGCTTGTAGGTTCTGGAAACCTTTCAACCCACTTCTAGGAGAAACATTTGAATTTGTTAACCCCACTGCTGGATATGCCCTAATTGCAGAGCAGGTTAGTGGATGACACAGTCTCATGGTATTTTGTTGTTATCTGAATTGATATTTAACCAAGTGGTTGTTCATTAATGAATTGGTCCCGTAATTTGTTCCTGTGACTTGTGGTAAATGAGAGCTTGGATCTTAAAAGAAAGAACAATGAAATTAACCTTTTCTCCACAATCCATGTCCTAAAGGATAAAAAAAGGTTGACCTTTGTGAATTCTTGTGTCCCCTTTTTTCCACTTTCAGTTGCTTTAATGAAGTCAGTCTCCATTAAGGTGTCTGTTTCTGACACAAAATTAAAAATCATATGAATGACATCTCTATGTGCAAAAGGCCGGTGTGTGACTGCATCACAGCATTGGTGTAGGCTGGTGGATATATTTTTAAAATATTTTTTCTGACACAGAAAAGGAATTTTATCCTATGACCCCAACATCTTACAAAGTATTTTATGGTATGTTGATGAAAACTGAAAACCAAATGCTAAACCATATAAAATGCGCAAACCGAAATGAACAGGATCACTGAAAAACTGTACTTTTGGCACAAAAACCAAAAAACCAATCTAAAAAAAGCCAAAACCAAAAATCCCAATGCTCGCCTCCTGATTGAAGAGTGATACATTCCTCTTGCTTGCCTTCATCCAAGGTGGCACTACACAACACTCCTTGACACAGCCGTAAAAGTGACCACATGGAGTTTTGTGGCAAAAAACTTTCAAATGGGCCTGCTCTCCATTATGTCACACAGACTCTGTTTTGGTTTGTTATGCAGCATCTCTAATTTTCA